CAGTGTAGGGCTGATCTGTTGACCATTTTATCAATTAATCCATTTATGACTGGACAGCTAAATGCCTTATAGGAGAATCTTACAAAATTAACCACGTGAAGCTAAAACTATAAACAAACATGGTTTTTCATCTAAAGTCATGCAAGTGGAAATTATTTAATTTGTTTGACTTTATCACGAGATTAAATGATTTATTTCTTATTGTGACAGGGTTATTGACAATTATTTCAACAATCGATTGATCAAGATTAATCCAATTAATCACGATTAATCGTTTCAGCTGCACCATAAAGTATTAATAAAAACATCTGTCCACTAACTAAAATGTTTAGTTTTTCTGCAGAGGTCGGTGTTTTGTAAATGCAACACATTTTTTACAGTTTCTTGAAATGTTAAACTGTAATATTTCGGCCGGCTTGAAGATTCTTCCAATCGTCTGAAACATGTTTTTAGCACAAACTAAACATTAACAACCAGTTTCACAAAGTTTCTGAACCTTTTCCAGGAACGCTGATTATACCCGCTTGTTTCTGGAAAAACCCGGTCACGCACTTTCAATTCTGGAGCCGTAAACCACGAGTGGTACCGACGTGAACAAAGGAACCGATCGCAGCGGCTGGGTTGGCATGAACTGCAGAGTAACTCATCAGACTGGAATCACACTGGTATGAAAGGCATGACAGGCATTTTTTACAGTGTTCAACAGGAGGTTCAGTTAAAGGTTCAGCTCTAATGCCTTGAGGAAACATTTGGGTCACATTTTCATCAGCTCTAAAACACTGTAAGGCTCTGAAAAGCCCAAATTAGCAAACAGCTATGATTTAAAGCTAATTAAGCAGGTTAGAGAGCTGTAGTCATGGGAAAGTTGAGTGGAAGGAAAAAGTGAGGTTAAGAAAAGAGAAAAGGTGTACACCTCTTATATCAGGAGTGTCCAGTTTGAAAGTAGTTTTCTAGGTTTCTAGTTTTTTAGGTCAGATTTGATCAACCAGAACTGGGAGCATTTTTTGTGTTTGGCGTGAAAAACTTCAGGTCTGAATCGCACGGCTAAGCTACTTCCTTATAACAGGAATCTCACATTTATGATGGGGAACTTGAAGGCAGATTAGTATCAGGACTTTGCCTTCGGTCACATGGTGCTGGTTATTAATTTACTGCCCTGCCGTCCCATCATGCTTTGCTCTGGGAGAGAAGGTGACAGCGATGTGACACCAGAAAGTATCGGCACCCTTAAAACTTTTCCAGTCTGAATGTTTTTTCTTCACAGAGTCAGAATATTGACAGAGGAGGAAATGTCCGCCAAAAACATCTGAAAATTTTAGATTAATCTTAGAAATTTTCTAGAAAAACAAGAAAATTTTAAAAGTCGCAAAATTTGAAACTCAGAGAATTTCAAAATGTCCTTGAAATTTCCTTGAGTTTTTTCAAGCAAATTTTATTTTTAAGTCAGAAATGTTCTTGTTTTTTCTAGAAAAGGTTCAAGAAGGGAAATTTCTGACTTTGAAAAGTCAAAAGTTTACTATAAAAATCTGAAGTTTTCAGATTAACATAAAAAATAATAAAAAAAAAAAACAAGAAAATTTGTGAGTTTAAAAACAAAAAAATATTTTCTCTTTTGAAAAAAGAAGTTTTAGACTTTTGAAATTCTGAAATTTTCTTGGATTTTCTATAGAATATTTCTGAGATTAATCTCAAAATCTCAGTTTTTTTCTAACTTTCAACTTTTCAAACTCTTTAGTTTCCTTGTTTCCTCAGAACTTTGGCGGAAATCAGCTCCTGTTTTCTGATCACAGAGGAAACATCTGGACTCAGAGGAACGACTTGAATAAATATTTCTGGAGCTGTAAAGTTGTTTCCCTCTGAATGAATGAATGAATGAATGAATGAATGAATGAATGAATGAAAGTGGCTAGCGTTATGGAACCTGAAGCGAAGCAGCTGTAGATTAACAGGAAACGATACACATAACGATGCTCAGATTAAATTACTGCTGTTCTGCAGGTTTCAGTTCCAGATTTTTAATCTGATTATATGCTGAGATACAATCTGGTTTATTCTGGACATGGACAAATAATGAAGAAAATCCATTGTTATTATCCTGAGGGCTAACGGGGGAATTGGGTGGTAACTAGTTACATTTAGTTAAGTAACTTTTTGGAAATGTATTTTTTCTGCACTGAACGTTTTACCTTTTTGTCTTTTGGTTTGTTGTTTTGTTTGCATTTCCTTCTAATTCATGTAAAGCACTTTCAACTGCCTTGTTGCTGAAAATGAGCTATATAAATAAAATTACCTCAACTTATACTTATCATACTTTTACTTGAGTAATTTTATTTTGAAGTATTGCTACTCTGGAGTAAAATATCTGCATTTCTTCACCAGATGCAGACACACACCTGCTGGTTTTGTTGGTTTAATAAGTTTCATAAAGATTTAATAAAATGTGTTTTTTTCTGATTTTGTTTAGTAAATTTATTCATATAAATTATTTTCACCTTTCCGTCTATAAAAATACCAATATTTCCACATAACTTTACATTTTGTTCCGTCTGATTGTTTAATTTGTAAGACACATTCTGGCAGTTTTTGTTCAAATTTGATCCATTTTTAACTGAAGGAAATTGATTTGGGAAAATGTTTCTTTTGTGATTATGTCATTTATATGAATTATTTTCATTTTGGTCTCTAAAATACCAAAACGTCCAAATAACGTTTGGCCCGTTTATGATGTAATTGTTAAATATCACCATATTCATGTTTTTATCAGTTAGCACTTGCAGGGACACAGAATTAGGAAAGCACTGTTCGCGGGCGTCGTGTTAGAGGGGCGCCAAAAAACAGTGGAAAAGTTTTTCCTAAATGGCATTTTCTGTATTTAACAGCTGTTGGTGCGTTGAAACCATCAGAAAGTAGCGGCGCCCCGGAGAAAACGTTTTACTTGAATCACTTCTTGGAGGCAGCTTTCAGGCTCTCAGCTGCCCGTGGGTGATGTGGAAAGTACTCACGGCTGCATCTGCAGGGACTCCGCTCTGGCCAGGTAGTTGTGGGGAACTATCCCGGTGCCCAGGATGCGCCCGTTCTTCTCGATCTTCCTGGCCGTCCACCAGTCTCCGTTGCGGCACATGACCTCCAGCAGGTCCCCCACCTGGAAGGACAGCTCGTCCCGGTGCCGGGCGTCGAACGGCCAGATCCCGGTGTAGATGGCGTTTTCCGACGGCCTGTCCGGCCTGCCCGGCGGCGGAGGGGCCGGCGGGCTGACCGAGGGTCTCTTACCGCCAGCATCCACCTTGTTATTCCCGTCTCCGTGGTTCGGTTTGTCGTCTCCGTGGTTCGGTTTCTGCGGGAGGAGCCGCCGCACACACGCCGACAGACAGTCACACATCGCTGCTGAGGAAACGGGCCGGAGCCGCTTCGCGCCCCGCGGTGATCCCCCGCCGCTGGATGAGCCGCACCTGACGGACAGGTAGGCAGAAACTCCTCGGAATGCGTCGCTGTTCCGGTTTGGTCGGTCCTGAGTGACACCAGCATGATTCAGAGAACTTCCTTAAGGGCAGCAGTGAATGAAACCCCGCCTATGACGACGGGCAGAACCATAAATAAAACCCGCTGCGATGCGTGTTCAAAACAGAGCAGCTTTTATTTCACTCCGTCCGAACTGATGTATTCACCCTAACAAGCCAGGGATAATTATTATAACAATAACTTGTGCTTAATAAAGGGATTTTCTATTGAGTGTTTTAAGTTACACTGTTAAAAATTAACAGTAATAGTTCGGTTTATTTATTCATGAGAGAGAAAAATGGGGTTTAGTTTTAATTTTCACCAAGTTATTAATTCAGTTACAAATGTCACCGTTTCACAAAAAGTGGCTTTTCAAACTAAATATTTAGTTAGCAGGTTAAATGTTTATCACCAACTGTTCATGATAATGAATCCCGGTTGTCTCGACTTATTCTGGTCATTTCTGGACTTTGAATAGGCCATCCGAACAATAAACGTTGATCTGGATCAGGGTTGTCCAAAATGTGGCCCGTGGGCCATTTGTGTCCCCTGGAGGAATTTAGGAAATCCCCTAAGCAAAGCAAATGCTGATTGAGATAGTTACTTTTTAATAGCTAAAGGTGAAATTTTCACTCAATAAACACCATAAAAGGTCTAATTTTAGGTACAAAATAAAATATTAGTTTTTAAAAACATTGTTTTGTGATCTGAAATATTTGAGGAAAATGAAAAACAGAAGAAATCTGTAGGAGCTGAATCCATTTGAACAGATTCTTCCTCCTGCTGCACATAAATCATAATCTGCTCAACAAAACATTTTGTTTGAGTTTTATTTCCCTGCTGTTTGCATATCTTCACTGTCTGGGTCAGTTTGTGTACACAAACTATTTTTAGATTATTATGGCGTTTTACAGGCCTGAATGGAGACACAGCAGCAAGAAGCCGACCGACTGACTTTGTTCCTGAAGTTTTTAGCTTTAGATCAACTGCAGATTAGACCAAATGGATTTAACTGGTTTACCCGCTGCAGTTTGTATTGTTGAAAATTTACAGAAATTATTTGGGTTATTTGTTTCAAAGTCATATTTTCAGTCAGTTCCAAATAAAATATTTAGATAGCAAGCTAAATATTTAGCTTCAAGCTACATATTTTGTTAGCAAGTTAGTTAGGTTAGTTTACAAACTAATTATGTAAACTAAAAAATATATTTTTGCTTGCTGACTGAATATTTAGGTTGGAACAAAATATTGTATTTGCAAGCTGAATATTTACAAACTAAATACTCACCATCAAGCTAAATATGTAGTTTGTAAGTATTTAGCTTTCTAGTTAAACATTTTGCTCATTTGTCTGTCAAGCTAAGATTCAAACTAAATATGCAAACTTAAAATGTAACTATTTAGCTTGTTGACTATATTTAGATAGCAACAAAATAGATATTTTGCTAAGTGCTAACTAAATATTTAGCTTATATAGCAAGTTAAATATTTAGCTCCAAACTAAATATGCAAACTAGAAATTTAAATATTTAGCTTGCTAACTAAATATTTTGCTTATTTTTAGCTTCAAGCTAAATATATAAGCTCAAATATTTAGATTGCTAACAAAATACTTAAGTTGGAGCAAAATATTTAGTTTTCAAACTAAATATTTAGTTTGCAGCCTTAACTTTAGGTCCTTTTAAAAATATATTTATGTGAAATTTTCCTCTAAAAATGAGTGAACATATAACAAAAATAGTAAAAATTACAGTTGCATTGTTTTTTGAAAACAATACTTAAAATACTTTATTTTTTGCATAACTTGTGTTTGGTACCAGAACACAAACAGCCATAAATACAAACATACTCATAATTTGGAGATTATGGCTCAAGTTTCCTGAACTTGGCTCCATCTGCTGCAAACGTCATGCATAAAAACACACAAAATTGGTTCATTGACAAATTGCATTGCAAGTTGCAAGATTTGTTTACAGTTTTATGTGCTTCAAATGAAGAAAAGCCTACAGAAAGAGGCTGCGAGTCCAGATGTCCGTCCTGTAGCTCGTGTGTCGGTGGTGAGCTTGTGTTCAGTTGTAAACGTAGGCACTGGTGTTCCTGGACATCAGTCAGAGGAGCTTAAGGCCTGGACTGTTGGCACCGAGCTCCAGCGGCTTTTCAAGCGCTTCTAGTTCATCTTGTGCTGATAAAAAAATCATTTTAAAAGTGCTTCTGTTAGGATGCTTTAGATTTGTAAAATGTAGCCGAGCCTCCAAAAATACCTGGAGGCTCGGCTACATCTTTACCTGCAACAGGTAAAGATCTTCTGACGAATAAATCAGGAAGCGCAGAGAAATGGACAAACAAAAATACAAAAATAGATCTTCTTACCGTCTGTCCTGAGAGCAGCACTGGAGCACAAGTCATTTTTCTGAACATTAAATATTTCAGCCCGTGTCAGATAATCAGTGTGGGTCTAAAAGCAGCAGGCTACAGTAACAGGACTACATGTACCAAACCTCACAGCAAGCTGGCATGCTCACTAGCTGCAAAACAATAATGCAGTAACAGTAAACATCATGTTAAATAAGAACCCTGGTCCCACCTGGAAGCTTCAGCCGCAGGATTTCAGCCTGCAGAGGAGCAGCAGATATTAGATCTTAACGCTGCAAACACACAGTTGCAAGCCAACAAGCAGAAATTCAAGCTAAAACTCAAACCGTAGCTGCGTTTCCATTCCCCGCATAAACGCACAATTTTGTATTTCTAAAATTAACTTGCTTAATAGAGACATGCCTGAAGCGATAAAAAGTTTTGTTGCTAGGATGAGGTGATTTTTTTTGGCCGTAGTTAAATTTATTTATTTTGCAAAACTGAAATGGAAACAATTTTTTTCACATCACGAGTCACATGATCAATAAGTGGATTTTACCACTGACAGAAACCATGAAGAAGACGAACAGGAAGTAGACGGAGGAGCACGTTTTTAAATGATTATTGCGTGAACAAACTTATTCACCTGTGATTTTAATTATTTTTCTGGTTTAATGAAAACACAACAATTGTGTTTTTTCAGCATTCTGATTATTGACAAAGTTTTGGAAACTTTGTCAATATTTGTAATGGAAACACAGCTACTGAGCTCCTCCACATGCGCTACAGGAAAGATGCGCTCCTTAGCATTGGAGCTAAGATAGGGGCTAGCTGGAAGGCTAACTACGGCTACGCTCCTTTGGCTGCTAGCCAAGCTAAGCTAAACAAAAATAAGCGCACATTTAAATTTAAGATGCTTTTCGTTGCTCCTTAAACCAAACTCTTAGTAGAGGAAGACTTGTTATTTTCTGTACAGTTTATTCCTGATCTCTTTAACGTAAAGGAGTCACAGGTTTCAGAAATCGTCACATCTGGATGCGGTTTGATGAAAACAAACAAAATCATTTAACCAGCAAACGAAACCTTTTCTCCAAGATACTTAGCTCAAGAGCAGGAAGGGTCAAGCTAAGAAACTAATTAATTTCCCTTTCTCTAGACTGATGTGGCTAAAAATTCAGCTTTCGTTTAATTATTGCACAAAATCTCCATTTTCCCGACTTGTTTTGCATCGGAAACAGAAGTGAAATCGTAACATGGAGGACGTGTCCAGCATGGCACATACCGACGATTTCCGTTATTACAGCCTCCAAAACACAAGAGTTTAAAACAGTTTGAGGAGTTTCTCTGGTGTATTTACAGACTCTGCTCTCTGAAGTACCGCTGGGTTTCTGTCCAGTTTGTCCTCCATGTTGGTTTGGGTCGCTGCTCCGCTTCATTTTCCCAAACAGAAACACGGAGAGGAACGATCCTCACCGTTTCCTGCCGTTTCTGCAGGTTCCCAGCCAGCAGTGGAAGACCGCCGTTCGCCTCTAAACCTCCACGGTTTTGTAATAAATGTGTTGATAAATGCTGTCCAGCTGGTTCTGCAGGGCGTGGAACGACGGCCTATGGGTCGGCTCGGTGTGCCAGCAGTCCTTCATGATCCGGTAAATATTGGGAGGGCAGCGGTTGGGACAGCCCAGCCGATGCCCCGATTTCAAAATGTCCATCACCTCCTTATTGCTTTTTCCTGAACAAAGAGAGACATGAAAAGATAAGAGATTAAGTAGAAATAAATAAATAAAATTGTTTCCATTACAGATGTGTTCAAACCTTTGTTGATATTCTACTAAAGTTGAAAAAACACAACTTTGTAAATGCATTGCTTCCATTAAATAAGAAACGCGATTAAAAAAAATCACGTGAATAAGTTTGTTCAGGTGATACGTTATTAAAAACCACTTCCTGTTCGTCTTCTTTGTTGTTTCCTCCAGTGGTAACATCCTGTCATTGATCAGGAGCAAGAAAAGTGTTTCCATCACAGTTTTATGAAAGAAACTCATTTTGATACAAAAAAAGACTGATTCTAGCAGCAAAACGAGAAACTTTTTTAATTGTCGTGTTTCTATTAGGTGAATTTATTTCCTAAATGTCAAATTGCTCATTTCTATGGAAACGCAGCTCATGTCTGGTGAACTTTTGGTTAAAACATTTTTATTCTTCATTCAGTGAACAAAGTATTCAGAAATTAACTCAAAGAAGAGAACTGATACTACATAATAAAGTTATTTAAATAAAAGTAAAAAGTACATTCTTTCCAAAAAGTGAGTCAACTACCCAACCCTGGTCGGGAAAAATGAAATTAACATTTTTGCTACAAGTTGTTTTGTTTTTGTCCTCAGTCAGCAACACAAAGACACCAAACTAGCTCTTAAATGAGTTACAACAGAAGAACTAGTCCATCCATTTACACTGAGCTGCTTTAACAGCTGACCTATCATGCTTCCATTAACAGGTTGGGTTAGTTCTACGGTAAAAACTAATTATGTTCTTATAATTTTATGCACAAAATCATTCTTACTTATTGAGATTCCAGTCTGCTCATGGGTTTCTTTCACTTTAAATCAGATAAACTGCTGCTGCTGGCCACGCTCCCAACTCAACGTTTACACTCATGAACCACCATACATGTTTGAAAAGGAGAACTGGAGCCTCCTGCACAACCAACAAGAATGTAGCAAATGGTTTCTGCATGGCAAATGAACAACTTTGTTGAGTCCTCCTGTTTTCGTTTTCTGGAGCGAGTTTGTATTTTTCTTCTGTTCTCTGTGGTTGCAGCATTTTTTGTTTTAAAGTATTGACTCTGTGCAAAAACACAAAAACCTTACCAAGTACTTTGGTCTAGTTTCTTACTATACTTGAAATAAGACAAAACTAGCTTACAGGCAACTTTCCAGCAAGAAACAGAAACTTATTTTTAGTTAATAATTTCATTGGTGAAGAAATACGAGTTATAAGCTAAACTTCTAAGTAAAGAAACTAAATATCTGGTTTAGACATTAAAGCTAACCAAGTTTGCGAGGTTTGAATATCTCAAATGATCTTTTACACGATTTATAGATCTCTGGTTTAAAGATCCTGCTGAACTATATGACGAAACAGCTTGCCATACTTGTCCTCACAGGGTGTTTTTAATTTACAGCGCTAATCAGGTCTGAACAAAGATTTTCAGGTTTTAGTTTCCATGTTCGCTGAGCTAATGCAGCTCAGAGGCAGCAGAGGTTTTCTAATGCAAATCCGGCGTTTTAAAGGTTGATCAGAGGCCGTTTGCATGAACTGCTACAGCGTTCTGTGGGCTGCAGCTGGTTTGAATGTGATTTTATCTTTGCTTCCCTCTGGCTAACAGTTAGCTAAACCGCAGCAGAGGAGATGACTTCTGCTCACAAACTCCCAGCAAATCTGCACATTTCAGGAAGTTTTATTATAAGATTGGGGTCAAAATTTTGTTTCCATAGCACCTTGAAATGTTTTTGGCTCCAGTCCATCAATGCACCATCGTTTTCTCCACTAGGCGACTAAAACTGGAAAAATATGATTTTCTTTTCTTTTTTTGCAAAATGTCTTCAAATGTCTGTCATGAACTCGGGCTGTTAAGATGCTAAAACACTGGATAGTTATATCATCTGCAACACAGTGAAGCAAAATTAACTAAAATTTACTCTACATGCTTTCAAGTTTGACATATTCCTGCTGACAAGCTAATTATGTGACCCAGGTGTCGAGTCAGAGACAAATTTAAAAGCTGTGGGACTTTAACTGTGGAGGTCTGGAGTTTAACACCGAAAAGGTTCAGATCATGTGCCAGGATGGCCCAGTCAAAGCCCAGACTAAATCCAATAGAGAATATTTGGAAATCTGACTCATTTTATAAATATGGACATCAACAAACCCCATAAAGAGCGTCCGCTGTCACTGCAGTGAAAGGTAAACAGTGAAACACACTGCAAAAAATGAATGATGCAAACTCCAAAATATAAAAAAAACACTATAAAAATCAAATACAACCAAAAAAAGCTGCAAAAACAGGAAAAAAAAAAAGCAAATAGTAAAAACTGCAACAAGTATAAAAAGCTACAAACTTGCTCCAAAATACGTTAGTCCTCCAGGCCACCAGGGGGAGTCGGCCACCAAACCGTACGGCACCACTCAGTAAAGTCGGATTGTCACGATTTAACGGGATGTCCAGAAAAATATTGGATATAATGTTATAGAACACCAACATATTTAAGTAGCTAACATGATCTACTCCAGACTCCCCCTGGTGGTCAGGAGGACTTACGTTTTCTGGGGCGAGTTTGTGTTTTGCTTCTGTTCCCAGCAGTTTTTGTTTTAAAGTATTGACTCAAAGGGGCTAAATACTAACACACATCTTTATTTGGAAAAGAAAATTCAAAATCATGATTCATTTTCTTTTAAGCTTCATAATTAAGCATTACTTTGTCTATCACTTAAAATATTAATGAAATCCACGGAGGTTTGTGGTCCAACAGAGCAAAACGTTTCTGGGGTATGAATCTTTCTGCAGGGCATTGCAACACTTTCATTGTTCCTTTGTTTGAAGATCAAACTGGTTTGTTCACAAATTAACTCGAGGCAGGAAATGACTATTGTACCTTCGTACGGCATTTTCCCGCGTGACATCATCTCATACAGAAGCACGCCAAACGACCAGACGTCTGATTTGACAGAGAAGCGTTGGTGCAGCACCGCCTCAGGCGCTGTCCACCGCACCGGGATCTTCGTGTTTCTGCTGGCAGTGTAGACGCTGTCCTGCAGCAAACATTACAGCTACATCAGAATCATTCAACAACAAATCCTTTTCTTCAACATGTTCAGCTCCAGAGCAAGAAGGGTTGAACTAACTATCTATTATGGTCCAAGCAGCTCTGAAGGTCTGGTTTTCAGTCTAGACTCAAAGGAAATCAGTTGAAGTTCGAGGAAGTCGGCTGTTTTGCAGTTTTCTGGAAGTGTCTTATTAGTGAAATAATCTGCTAGTGGAACTAGATGAAAAGGTCGACAGAATGTCTGCTTTTTCATTAGTATTAAGGGATTTTTTTACTTAAATTAAGCTCCAATATCTTGTTGAAAAGTTACTTGAAAGTTAGTTTTGCCTTATTTCCAGTGTACGAAGATATTTACACTAAAATCTAGACCAAAACTACTTGGTAAGATTCATACAACCAGCTGACCGAATGTGCTGGAGCTCTGTTTGGGTTGCTAGGTAACGGGCAGAGTTCCGTTCGGGTTGCTAGGTAACAGGCAGAGTTCCGTTCGGGTTGCTAGGTAACAGGCAGAGTTCCGCTCGGGTTGCTAGGTAACGGGGTATTGCCTGCTGACTTGTGATGTGACATTCTGGAGGTTTTAGAAACAACTTCATTTTCCAGACTCTTACATTAATTTATCTAGAAAAAGCAGTGTTTTTTTATGCACTTGTTCTGTTTTCATAAGCAGCAGAAACCAAAATGGAAGCACAAAAATATCCAAAATGTGAATTTTTCATAATTTCTCCTGTTTAAGTGTTGTGAAATATTCAATCAAAACACATTAAACGTTCTTAAGAAGTCAAAGCTTCAGAAATAAACCCTTTTGAACCTGACTGGTCAGATAAAACCTAATTTACCTTAATTATCCGAGCCAGTCCGAAGTCTGCCACCTTGCAGATCAGGTCGTCTCCCACCAGGATGTTTCTGGCGGCCAGGTCTCTGTGGACGATGTGTCTGTCCTCCAGGTAGCCCATGCCGTCTGCGATCTGGCCGCTCATGTAGATGAGATGAGCTGTTTTCAGCAGCTTTCCTTCCTCAGCTGCAAACACAGTTTCACACTCAGACCAAACGCAAACCGCTGCCAACGCTGGAGCAAATTAAAGTCCTACAGACGGTTTTATGTGAACCTAGACAGTTTTTAAGATCATTTTTGCCAATGGTAGCATAAAATGTTAATTTTTTCCATGTTCTGGTGCAGATTATGGTTTCCCAGCATGACTAGCTTGTTAGTCAGTTAGACACTGCTAACTAACAAGTTAGCAGCGCTATCCTAAAGCACTAATCATAAATGTTTTCTGAACAAATTGTTGAAAATGAGAATTTGTTCTCAATCAACTTACCTGGTTAAATAAAGTTTAAATTAAAATAAACATTAGTTATGCTAATGCTAAAGCTTTACACCATTAGCGGGAGCTTACGCTAGGCGCTAAATTCAACCATGTTGGAAACCATAAAGCCCTTTGGTGGTGAATTTATGTTTATATGTTGTTCCTGCATGTTTCTGGTTTGAAGTGAAGCTGCTACATAAACAGTTTTCATCCACTTCAAAATAAAAGCATGAATATAAACAACTGTTTTTGAGAACCAATAACAGTTTGTAATCAAAACTTCATTCAACAGAAAGTTTACAAAACATCCAGTTAATTATCGCTTTAGGATTTATCCAGAAAAATTAAGACATGGGAAGCTAAGTGCCTCCCACAAGTGAGAGCTTGTGACATAAAGTTTGTGCGCCCTGGCGTTCAGGTGAACTCACAGTCCAGGTAGGACTTGAGGCTTCCTTTGCTCATGAGTTCGGTGACGATGTAGACGGGTTCCCCTCTGGAGCACATGGCCAGCAGCTGGATCAGCTTCGGGTGGTGGAGGCTCTTCAGCGCCTGGACCTCCTTCACAAACTCGTCCTGCTTCGTGTCCTCTGAGGAAAACAAGCTGCGCTTAGCCTTTCTGCTGATTTATTTCAATTAATGCTCTTATATTTGGCTTTTCATCGTAATGCTGCTCCAAAAAGCATCCGAAACATTCATGAAACACTTTGAGAAACTACGGCAGCGTTTCTGGAAGAAAGAAAACAGGAAGCGCGCATTTCCGTCCAAACTCAGAAATTCTCTAAAGATAAAACTTGTTTTAAAAAACTGACTTTTAAATGTGAAACTTTTTTTTACTTTTTAAAATCAGAAATGTTCATGGGTTGTTTTTTTTTCAATAAGATTTTTGAGATTAATCTAAAAATCTCTGACTTTTTTTCCAGCAAATGTTTCGACTTTCCAGACTCAGAAATTTTCTCTTTTTTTCCACAAATTTCTCTGATTAATCCCAAAAAAATTCTAGTAAATTTGTGACTTTCCAAATTCAGATATATTTTAACAACATGTTTCAAGATTAATGTGAAAAGTTTTTTTTCTAGCAAATTTTCAGCTTTCCAAAGTTTTTCCTCCAAAGATCCAGATTTTACTCATTTTACTTTAACCTGGGAGAAACGTCCTGTAAAACGTGAATCTGCTGCCAGTGCAGCTGCAACTAAAATCAGGATTAAGAAATTAGACTTAACTACTTAAAATCAGTTCATTTTGAGTTTGTTTTTCTTCTTTAAAGTCTAAAATATTTCACTGGAAACCAGACCAGAAATACTTGCTGGCCGCCAGAGGGCGCTGTGTGTCCTCAGAAAACAGGAGGGAAGATGATTAAAAAAAGTTCCATAAATTTCTTTATGGGATTAAATTTTCATCAGAATTGTTCTTTTCTGTTCTTTAATATTTTTAATATCAAATATAAGTTAAAATAATTGTTTTAAATGTTATTTCATGATTTTATTCATAAATATGCTTTTCTTCTTAAACCAGCAGGAAATGGAAAATAAAAATGCCAAATGAACTCTGCGGCAAAAACCCAACAGAACTACAGAAATAATATTAAATTTGATGTGATTACTATAAAGCATCACTGTTTTTATGCTTTACGCTATTAAAACCTAATACAGTAATAAACATTGCATTTTACATTCATCACTTCTGCTTTTCTAACTAATGTGAATTACAATAATTCATTTAAAAACGTGCTCCTCCGTCTACTTCCTGTTCGTCTCACTGTGAATTACAGTTTGTCTGATGCAAAGATCAGCTTTTAACAGGACATTAAATCCTGCAGCAGCTTCATTAAGCTGTAAAATATTAACTTTTCATTAAAGTAATTCTGAAGGACTTTATGTAAAGATTTTATTCTGGTCAAACAACAGAGAATCATTTCAACTAAACTGGAGGAAAAACAATCACAGCTGTTATCAGATGCTGGTTTTGCGCCAGTCAGTCTTCCTGTACCTTGTTTCAGCATCTTTATGGCCACTTTCTGGTTCCCTTTGGTCCAAATGGCTTCCCATACTTGTCCAAAGTTTCCTTCTCCCAGTTTGTGGAGGAGTTTGAACTCTTCCCGCGGTCTCTCCCACGGCTCCATGTCGAAGAGTTCCCGCTGCGCAAAAACACAAACAAAACGTTTCAAAGATTCATCGCAGTTTGTGGCAGGAGCAGAATGTCGGAGTGTCGTCCCACAGAGCAGCGACTGCACGGCGAATCAGAGCCAGACAAAAATCTGACATTTTCTCTAAAACACGAGGAAATTTCTGAGTTTGAAACATAAAAAATGTCCGAAAAAATCTGAATTTTTCAGATTAATCTGAGAAACTTCCCAAAAAAACTTTGAAACTCCAAAAGTTGAAAATTTCCAAACATTTAAATTGTTTTACATCTGAATCTCAGAAATACTTGTTTTTCTAGGATTTTTTTTAGATTAATCTAAAATTTTGAATTTTTTCTATCAATCAATCAATCAAATTTTATTTGTATAGCACATTTCAACAGCAAGGCATTTCAAGGTGCTTTACATAATTAAAAAACAAAATAAAAACAGCATGTGACATTAAATAAACAGTAAGAAAGAGAAAGAGATTTTGGAAAAAAAAAAGAAAGAAAAAGATTTTAAAAAAGATAAAATTTTCAAATAATTTGCTCATTTTTAGCTCCTCCTAATTTCTGTCTCAGCTCGGTGTCTGTTTTGAAGAGTATTTATGAACTTTATTTTGAAGGTTTAATGTAGAAAATGGTATTTCCTGTTAGCCCTTTAGTAGTTTTTAGCTGAATCTGCTGTATTCCTCCTGTTTGATGCAGAAACAGACAAAAACAACCAGTTTGTGTATTTTACTCATTTTAAATAAAAGCCTGTTTCTTTTGATGCTTGAAGATCCAAATATTCTGAACAGTTTTTAAATTAACTCGCATTCCTTTTTACCAGAAGACGCTTTTTAAAATAACTGGACAGTAATTATGGAGAAACTTTGCAGTTATTGTCCAGGTTTTAATTTCATATTCAGTTTTTAAATATTTTATGTTTCTGTGAATTTGGTTCTCATTTTTCCTATTTTGGAAAAATAAAGGAATTTATTTTCTGTAAATAACGATGCTGGAAGGTATGGCTGACGTATGGAGCTCCAAAAAGGACAGAAATTCTGTTTTTCTTCACTTTTCCACGCACTAATCACTCCTTGAGCCTCATGTTTTAATAAAACCTCGATTTTGGGTCCAAACCTCTTCCTGGATTATTTGTGTGTTTTACCAAATTATTTGCAGAAAAATTGAAGTTTTTTTTTGTAAAGCATATCTAAAATGTTCTCAGGAAAAGGCAGATTGTGAAGCTGAAACACTCTTTAGCCATGCTACCTGACATGCTATCGGCTAGCGCTGGCAAACAGCCAATGAAGGAGCGCTATTTATTTCCCTTGGCACCGATTGGCTGAACCCTCAAAATCAAAGATTTCCTAAATGTTGGCTCCTACAGTAAAGCTAAAATGGCTGCCACTCTGTTTATTAATGAATATTAAGGCAGTAATGAATGTTTTTCCAGATGGTCTTAATGTTTGTGGATTTAGTCAGATAGTCGAGATCACCGACGGTTTTTGCTTCACAGTTTCGGTTTTTGCTGGTTTTTACTGTTGCTGACAAGAATTTTCTGATAATCCATCAATGTGTTTAATGGGAGGAACGAACAATAAAAAACATAAATCAGGTTTAAATGAGCAACAAAAATTTATTTGAGTTAAAATAAAATTATTCAACAACTGATTAAAAAACTGATTAATAAATAATTTTCTGGGATTATAAATAAAACAAAGGATATTGTTTTCATATTATGAAAAATTAAAGTTAAAAACAAATCAAGATAAATTGAAATTGAAAGTAAGGACACTTATTTTCACCTTCTTACATTTCAGTCACATTTCAATGAATGCTTGGTTAAAAGCACTTTAAAAGAATAACAATCTCAACAGAAATGAAACAAGAATCAACATTTTAAAGTTCATTAAACTGCAAAACATTAACCCTGATTTTATGATTAAAGACAAATAATAAACTTAGATTATTTAATTGCAACAAAGTGTTAGTTAGGAGGGAAATAAGCACAAAGTAGAGGAAAAAATCAGGAAATATTCCTCTGAAAATGATGCTACATAACTGTGACTAATCTTAGAAACATGTTTGCTCCAATAAAATCACTAAAATGAGTTCAGTGACCCGTTTACTGCTGAAGAACAGTTTATCTGAAACGGAGTCATGAATATTATTTTATTAAATTGCTGTCAAGTGCAACAAAGCTGCATGAGAAAGATTTTATTATGAAGTAATTTGAAGAAATATGAGATTTTTTTAAATTTCTCACATTTAATAACTTAGTTTATCTTTGTGTGAAATTAAGATGGGAGGACCTGAAACATTTAAAGGTAAAATAAATAAATGAATAAATGAAATTTACTGAGGATTAAAGTTAAAAACAAAACATTTTGCCACTTTTGGCTTGTTAACTGGATGAATATTAAATAAAGAAAACATTCAGTATGCATTTAAATGAAATTAACCAAAAACAAATCATATTGAGAACCAGGTACTTTAAATATATGATCCCACTATTTGAAAATACAAAATGAAAAAACGAAAATTAATATTTGAAAAAGTAACAATTGAAATAAAAAAGAACACGATTTTATGTCCAAACGTCCTGGAGCTCCACTGAGGTTGCCAGGTAACGAGCAGAGTTCCTCTGTGGTTGCTAAGTAACGAACAGAGTTCCTCTGTGGTTGCTAGGTAATGAGCAGAGTTCCTCTGTGGTTGCTAAGTAACGAGCAGAGTTCCTCTGTGGTTACTAGGTAATAGGCAGAGTTCCGCTGTGGTTGCTAAGGAACGAGCAGAGTTCCTCTGTGGTTGCTAGGTAATAGGCAGAGTTCCGCTGTAGTTGCTAAGGAACGAGCAGAGTTCTGCTGTGGTTTCTAGGTAATGAGCAGAGTTTCTCTGTAGTTCCGCTGAGATTGCTACATTTTCCAGACACTGAAAAACATGAACTATCAAAAACCGGCTAAATGTTTTTTTCCAGCACTTTGTTGGTTTTTAGAGGCAGCAGAAACCCAAATGGAAGAATAAAAATATGTAAAAGGAATTTTCCTTTAAAGAAAGCAATTTGAAAATAAAACAATATTTTGGCGCGTAGCAAACTGATTATTTTTCTTTGGTTATCTGGAGTCAGACAGTGAGGAATGACTTCCAGCATTAAATTATGCAATATTTCCGATGTGCTTTGGTTTGAGCTACAGGTAACAGGAATGGTGCGGGCATGGCGGCGTTCCCTGCATGTGCCGGGTCAACATTCCCAGTCTGGGAAAAGCAGACAAACCGGCTCGGCACACGCAGCAAAGCATGAAGGGCAACCGGAGTCACTCTGCCACTCCTTAAACCTAATACAAATATTTTCCTCCGTCTCTGCATCCACATTCACATTTAAAGGCGTTTCTGCTTCGTGTCGCCGCCTCAGACTCACAGCTTCCGCTGGAAGGGAAGAGAGAAGAGGGAGGAATCACCGACTGACCTTCACTCTGCACATTTTCATTCATCCTTAAGTTAAATAATTCTGTTGGAGTTTTCTATTTTTCAGCAGATGTGAGGAAATCTGAGCGGTTGGCTCCCAAACTGATGAGACGTGGAAACGGAAAGCTGCTTGCAGGGAGTTAAAAATAGCTGCGTAATCACAGAGCCGACACTTAAACCGTTCCGCTTTTTTAAATCTACTGATCCCAACGCAGCGTTTCTAAACAGAAAGCAAAGAAAAACTAAATACACTGCAGGATGCAGAGGAGTTCAGGGTTGAGTCAACGTGCAAACAGACAGTCCCACAGCATGACTCCTCCAGCACCATGCCCCCGAGTTCAGACTAGGGTTTTTTTTTTCTTCGTGGACCAAACAAAACATATGTGACCAAAATGATTAAACGCATTTTTAATTAACTTTTTTTTTGTTATTTTCAGAACACAATCACTCAGAAAAAAAACAAAACAGAAACAACTATGGATGGTGCACAACCGGTCCACTGTGATTAATCAATTAATTAAATAATTATCAACTAATTTATTATTTCAATCATCTTTACTTGGACTATATTAACTCTAAAATATTAAATTTTCTGAATAAACAACTCTCAGGGCAGTAATTCTCAGAGGAAAAACTGCACAAAAAATATATAAATGAATATTTTTGTCAACCGCACAAGATCCCACCTGCCAGCTTCCTGTTAGCCTGTTAGCAATGACTAGCATTGGTTCTGTTGTCAACAAAACGCGCTACACCTTAAATGTACACCTGATATATATATATATATATATATATATATATATATATATATATATATATATATATATATATATATATAAAAGGGACGCATTGCTTTGCTACTAATAATTTTTGTTTAAATTGGTTTTAATTTTTTTTTAATCATGAGGTAGAGGTCAGTGGGTCAGTAGCGCTAGCTTGACTATGAGAACCTTAACATAAAGATGTGCTGCAGAATTTGATGTTTTGGTTAAGTTAAAATAAAAAAGGCAACCTAAACACCAACTCTGACAGGTCATCAGTAGAGCAGGTGTTTAAATGAGCTAATCTACCGCCGCTGTGTTAGCTTAGCTAGTAGCAGCGATAGCTAATCTGAGCAATCACTTATTAATAATCACACAATAAACATCAAGCCTGAAAACATAAAACTGCAACTGACATGTTGGTGTGTTTTTTGGTGTCAAATCCTGCTACACTGGTGGAGCTGTTGTTAGTCGGTTGCTATGGCGACGAGTCTGCATGTAGCGTAGCCGAAACAGAGTGGTTTTGAGTCGTTCTTCAACAGGTTTTTCTGTTATTTTTCGCCGTGGCGCTCTGCACTGAGTTAATAAAAGCTTCATCTCCAGGTTTCGTTTAGTTAACGGGATCGTTCCACTGCAGCAGCGCCGCTAAAACAATCGTCTCTTTACCCTCCAGCTTTGTGTGCATGTTGGTGGAAACAACATGCAACGTGTCTGTACGAAGTTGTGGATGAACGGAGAGCGCCTAATCAGTTATTGATCATATTTGCAGGAAATGTTGAACAGTAAAAAATTTTCCGCCATCGTTTTGGCGCCCGCTCCAGCACAGCACCCGTATGCATCACATGCACCACATGTGATGCATACGGGTGTATGCATCACATGTGGTGCATGTGATGCATACGCGGTATCACATGCACCACATGTGCATGTGATGCACCACGTCCATTGCTGGGTAGATTGGAAGCCGTCTTAAATTTTTCCATTTGCCAATAATCTGGTGAACGATTAGCTTGGAAATGAGATTAAAATCTTCCCTGATTGACGGGAAACAGCCTTCATGTCTTTCTACTGGGAGCATTAAACTTTCCCACCTTCCAGACAAACAAAACTGATTAACAAGGTTTTTAAGGGATAAATTGTAGAACAGGAATGTGTGAATTTCTGTTTCTTTGTCTTTAAACAGCCTGGGTCTCAGCAGCAGATGCTCTGAAGGCACGACGCAGCAGATTTTCTGACAGCCGAGCATTTTTACCCAAAACGCAACAAAGACACAGGATTACAAATTATTTTAGGTTTAAATTATATTTCTGGTCACAACCAGGGGAAATGCTGCCACACAGCAAAACAAATCAGGAACTGAAATTACTGGTAAAGGTTTTTGCACAACAACCTTCCAGATTTACTATTTATTCATCTGAGTCTAAAGACGAGAATGAGCAGAAAACATAAAACATTTTTCTGTATGTTCTTTAAATACGAGTCTTATTTTTGTCCCAAAATGTTGCATCTAATCCCTAAAAAATTTATAAAAATTGGAACAAAATACATAAACTAAATCAACGCAAGAAAAGTAAACTAAAACAGAAATAATTAAAAAGAAGAAAATCAAAAATAAAATAATCCTAATAAAGGCAAAATACGAAATATGTAAAAGAAAAAACTGAAAAAAGTAAATATAAATTAAAAATATTTTATAAAACTCAGTCTAGCAAAATAAGTAAATAAAATAAACCCTATAAAATAAAATAAGTGTGACAGAACGAAAATAATTATTTTTAAATATGTAGCCATATAAAACGAAAGAAGCTTTATTAAATAAATTTTATTTAAAGATATCTAATTATATTTTCATGTATAAATCTATACAATAAAATAAAACAAAAAGTCATAATGAGATGAAAATAAAGTAAATAAAATTAAACAAAATAAACCCAATAAAATAAATTAAATAAACAATAACCCTGATAAAACAAAACGAATCCTGTTTTTGAGACGAGGGTTAGCTAGAGGAGTAAACAGTAAACAGTATCCTACCTGCTGGGCGCACGGCTCCGCCAGGTTCACCCCGAGGCTCCGCGGGTTCTTCTGGTAGTAGGAGACCAACTCGCCCAGCGTGGCGAACGACAGCTGGTCAGACACGAAGTATGCGCCGATCACCGAGCGCTGCACCCGGAAGTGGAAGACCTTCCCCTCGCTCCGCGCTGCCAGACAGGGTCAAAGGTCACAGGTAGGAAGGTCACAGTGAGACACAGAAAACTGAAATTTAGATGAATGCAATGTTTTTTTTTTTTTTTTTTTTTTTTTTT